GCACAGCAGTGGCTATACGACAGGGCTCGTGGCCAACATAGTATGTCTGCGTTTATTAAAAATAACAAAGATATCGAGGAGGAGGAAGAGGAGATGGGTGAAAATAATGTTCCATACGGAAAGGATCGTCGAGACTCTGATAATTTTCAACTGCCAGTATTGAATGATGTTGACCAAGCAAAGCTTACATCCTGCATTGATGAAGTTCGTAATGTTGTGGGAGATCAGATATCTGAGCGAAGAATAGTAGAGACTTCCATAAACTTTGGCTATGATATAACGAAAATACTTGATGATATACTAAATAACGAATGTGACAATAAAGCCAAGCGGCATAAACCAATAAACGAGACGAGTACTTCAAAATATGCCGCATTTCAAGCATCTACATCCACTGCTTCAAAACTAAAAACACCTGATCGCGAAACGGTATCTTTTGCACAGGCCACACCAATAATAAAAGTCACAGCGCAACCGTTAAGTGAGCGCGATGTACGTCGTGGCTTTGAAATTAGTTCACCTCATCCACAAGAATCCCCAGCTGTGTCTGGAAGAAATACGCCTGTTGATGAAGAAGCCAACAAAAGTCTAATAACGGTTAAGGTATCCAAAGAACAAGCACAACGCGATGCACGAAAACTATACTCACAGGAACGAGGTGAACAAAAAGCGCATTTTCATATGATTGTTATCGGACATGTCGATGCAGGTAATTAAGAAAATATTTACGGGGAGGCGTGTGGTTTTATTATATACTTAATAACTTGGTAGGCAAAAGCACATTGATGGGACATTTATTGGTTGACACCGGCTACGTCTCGCAACGAGTCATGCACAAACATGAGCAAGAATCTAAGAAAATGGGCAAACAGAGTTTCATGTACGCCTGGGTACTGGATGAAACCGGTGAAGAGCGCTCAAGAGGTATGATTTATTATGAATAGATATCAATAATAAATTTTATCCATTGCAAAATTACATAAAATATTCAAAAGGCATTACCATGGATGTTGGGTATTCCCGCATTGAGACAACTACAAAGGTAGTTACACTTCTGGATGCTCCTGGACACAAAGACTTTATACCAAACATGATTTCGGGTGCTACTCAAGCTGACGTCGCACTTCTGGTAGTGGACGCATCGCGTGGTGAATTCGAAGCTGGATTCGAACAAGGCGGTCAAACACGTGAACATGCTTTACTTGTACGCTCATTAGGCGTTAACCAATTGGGAGTTGTCATTAACAAGCTGGATATGGTCGATTGGTCTAAAGAGCGATTTGATGAAATTGTAGGTAAACTAAAAACTTTTCTCAGGCAAGCTGGTTTTAAAGAGTCTGACGTTAGTTTTATACCATGCTCTGGTCTAAGCGGCGAAAATTTGTCAAAGCCGGCAACGGAGCCCGCTTTAAAAGCCTGGTACAAAGGACCACATTTACTAAGCGTTATAGATAATTTTAAATTGCCAGAGAGATCAATTGATCGTCCATTTCGTATGTCTGTGTCAGATATTTATAAAGGCACTGGTTCTGGCTTTTGTATATCAGGCCGCATCGAGACTGGTGTGCTTAGTGTTAACGATCGCGTGCTGGTAGGTGCAAGTCGCGAACAGGCCCAAGTCAAAGCAATACAAATCGACGAAATGTCGCAAACAAATGCTTTTGCAGGTGATCAAGTGTCAGTGACACTGTCCGGCGTAGATATGTCCACCGTGTC